TTTTTCTTTTTTCTTTTTTTTTTTTTTTTTCCTGCTCAGTCTTCTGGCTTGCTGAATGCTTTCAGCAATGCACAAAGAAGGCTGAAGATGGTTTAAAGCAGCCTCAGACTCAGCATCTGCTCCTTCAAAGCTCTCCCCACCAAGAGCCCTCTGTGCCTTTTGTTGCCCACAGGTGCCACCACCCCAAACCCTCTTGGCTTTGCTGAATCATGGGGAGTAACTCACACTGGGCTTTCTAAATATCTACATTTTGTGTCCCCACCAGGACAGACGAATGTGGCTCTGCAGCCCCAGCTGTGCCCACAGTGCTGCCTCTGCGTGGGGAGGTGCTGGGCTGAGCAGCAGAGGCTTTGTGCAAAGCCAGCCCTGTGTAAAGCAGGAGTAGCTGCAGTGTGGTGTGAGCCTGGACCTGCCTGGGTGAGTAATGAACTTAGGGGAGGTTTGAGCAGCTCCTGGGCTGTGAAGCTGAGCATCAAGAGCATTTTTAGGTTTAGGGGCTGTTACAAGGGGAGGATGTTTGCCTTTACATATTATTTGCAACCCACTGCACCCAAAACACCAACTGGTTGCTCTCGGAGTGTGAAGCAATCACTGAATGAATTGGATTATTTTTTTTTAGCTTAGATTATTTTTTTCTCCTCATTTAGACAGAAGAAACCAGTGCAGCTTTGACCATGCATGTTACATTTTAATTTTTTTTTTCTCATGCCAAGAAATACAAAGAAAGTATATAAGATATACCATACCATCCTGCAGAAAAAGAAACATTTGTCAGCAAAGAGAAGCACCCAGCTGCAATTCCTGGTGTGTTCATGCTGTGTGTGAGCTGTGGCTCTCCCAGTGGGGGGATGGACCCTGCAATTCCGTGCCAAGGACCAAACCCTGGCACCTTCCAAGGGCTCCCAGGTGGTGCCAGGGCTGCCTTGGTGAGTCCTGCACACGTTCCCTTTCTGATGTTTCTTATCCTGGATGGGTGTTTATAGCTCGGGATTTTTTGCTACCTACTGGTGTCAGCAATTGCTTTACAAATATTCCCACTTTGAAAAGGCTGCTATCCCCCCACACTCCCTGGGACTGGGCCCAAGCAGGGGAGTTCTTCTGTCCAAACCTAACTGGTTTTTTGCCAAAAATTAAAGGCTGTGTACTGAAAGGAGAACGAGCTTAAATCGGAATAATTTCATTTAGAAGGGCAACCCTGGCTGTGGTAACAAAGCAGGGCAAGGGTGGGTGCAGCCTCTCCCTGGGCTTGGAGGGAACAGAAATTGAGATTCCATTTTATAGAACAGGCAGGATCTGCTCCCCTTGTCTGCATGGAGAAATCTGTGTGGGCTGGAGTGGGTCAGAGCTCCCTGAGCCCAGAGATGAACCCAGAGATGGGATCCCAGTGCAGCAGGACCTGTCCCAGTGACAGCAGGGGCAGAGGGGGCAGGAAGGGCTGAGGGGCTCAGGAGAGCTCTGGGATGGGGATGCTGAGGGGACCGGGTGATAAAACCATGAGGGGAAACTGGAACAGGGTGAAACAGCTGCCAGAAAAAGCAAATCCATCCTTAACAGCAAATTTGGGGGTGGGATGCTGAGGGGACAGTGTGATAAAACCAGCAAAGAGCAGGAAACTGGAACAGGGTGAAATGCCAGCCAGAAAAAGCAAATCCATCCAACTTTGAAGTCCTTTGGTGGCTTTGTTTCCCCTGCTGGGGCTCAGATCCCTTTGGTGCTGCTGTGACCCCACTGGCTGGGGCCAGACCTTCCCTGACCCTGGGTCACTGGGGCTGCTACAAAACCAAGAAAAGTTTATTGCTGGTTCAGCTTAAAGCTTCAACCCAGCCTTGATGCTGCCAGGAGCCCTTCTGTGGCACCCCATGAGCCCAGCTCTGCCCCAAATCCTGGCACAGAAACCCAGGGACAGCAGTGCCAGGGAGGTGCCAGCAGCCCCAGCTCCATTTTTTCCAATCCTTCCCCTGGATTTCCATTTTTCCCAATCCTTCCCCTGGATCTCCATTTTTTCCAGTCCTTCCCCTGGATCTCCATTTTTTCCAACCCTTCCCCTGGATTTCCATCCCACCAGGAGCTGACACTCGCTGGTGGCTCCCACTCCAGCTCACATTTAGAGACATTTCCCTCCTTCTCCATCCCCTCAGAGCTCTCCTCCTACCAGCTGAGCTGCCCTGGGCTGGGTTGTCACCCTGCTCTCACCTTTCCTTCACCAGGGGGGAGGATTTGGCCAGGATTTTGTGCCTGTTTCAGCTGTAACCCTGCTCAGGTGAGTGCTGAGGGCTGGGGGCTCTGCAGGCTCCTCCTTCACGAAAATGAGCAAATTCCACCCAAAAAGAGCCAAAGAGGGAGCTGGGCTGGGATAAAACCGTGGAGATAGGGAGAGCAAAGTGGCAAAACTTTGCAAAACAGGCTGCAAAATGTGTTTAGAATGTGATGGGGGAGCAGGGAAAGGGACTTTGGGGTGTTCTGGAGAGTTTGTTCCTCCAGCACTGCAGAGGCAGGTTACAAGCAGAGTAAATATTTTGTCAGGGGGCTTTCCTCTGGATTTAAATGCAGGATAAGAAGAAGGGAAAAAAAAGCTGAGTTCAAGGGTGTAGTACAATTGTATCTATTCAGGAAGATTTTAGAATGAAAGGGATTTAAGTGTCATAGTTCTTCTCTTTTGTTAGACTTGACAGTGAGGTGAGAAGCATCACCTGAGCTGTCCAACGGGACAGGAGGCACAAGCAAATCATCACCCTGGGGTTTTTGGGGAAATCTTCTGCCTCCTCCTGCATCCAGGGGAATCCTGGTGCCTCCAGTGCTCTGTGCTGCCCTGGCCTGGGATTGTCCTGGCAAGGAGCAGCTGCCTCCCAAACCCCTGCAGGGATCCCATTTGGAACCACATTTGTTTGGATCCCACTGAAAAAAAAAAAAAACAGATTCCAAGGAAATCTGTGCTCAGAGATGGTTCTGCTAAGGAGGAGGATGAAAAGAGAAGAAAATGGGGTTGGTTTGGGAGCAGCTCAGAGCCTGAGCTTCTGCCATCCCTGCAATTAGAGCAGTAATGTGAACCCCCCTTGTGGGGGGTGCCAGGGTTTGATCCTTTGGATGCAGGGAAGCACTTTAGATGAAAGGCTTTATAAAATGATAAAAGAGCATTTAAATCCTTACTTAATAAACGCTCAGTGCTCTCAAGTCCTAGAACTGCCTCCAGCACTTTTCCCTGAAAAAAGGGCCCTTCCTGCTTCCTGGGCTCTTCCCATCAGCTGAATCCCAGCAGCTCCAGGGGCAGAGGGCAGGGAATCAGGGACAGGCAGCACTGCCCTTATGTAGCTCCAGAAATATCCTACATGTTCCCCATCAAGCAGCTTTTGAGTCCAAGAGGTAAAGGAGGAAATATTTGGGGGTTTGATGGGGTTTCAATAGCCATAAAACGAATTTTGACCATCCAAGGGAGGGTTTCTGAAGGGCTCAGGAGGAAAAGAGGCAGTTCCTGGGCAGAGGATGGAGGAGGGAGCTCCCACCCAGCAATGCTCAGCACTCCCCGTTTGCTGAACTCACAAAAGATAAATTGCACAAGAAGAAGTTGCAGATTTGGTCCATTTTAGGTGCCAGCATTTTGTGATGGAGTGCTGGCAAAGGGGTGGATGGGAATGGAGCCCAGGAAGGTGCTGTAGTGATGTGCTATTGCTGTGAGCCCCTGGCATCCCTTCCCGTGGAGAGGAAAACGTTGACAGCGTGTCTGGGGGATTTGGCTTCCTCACCCCCTGGATTCAAACAACATCTAGAGGGAAAAAACCATTTGAAAGAGGAGCAATCAAAAAAGGTGACAGGAGAATTTTCACAGAGATGCAGTGGCTTTGCACATTAGTTACTACAGAGTAACTACAGTGTGGATTTACATCCACCCCTGCCCTGTGCTAAGCCAGGTGCCCACTCAGGGCCCAGGGCAGGAAGCAGTGCCAAGCAGTTTCCATGTTGGGAGGTTTCTTTTGGTGGATTCTCCATGTAGACAAGCCAGGGAAGCATTGAATTTGGTTTAAATTTGGGGTGTTAGGGAGCAGAAATGCCCTGCAGGGCATCAATTCTGAGTCAGTCCATGCTCGCAGGCTGTGACACAACAGAAGGGTCAGGCAGTGCAGCTCTTGGTGGTGTGTCCCCAAAGTTTGGATCAAAGAGCCTCAGGGAGCCAATGGACGTGGCCAGAAGTCACAAAGCCTGGCTGAAACAACAGGCAATGGAGCTTTGCATAGTCTGGGTGGGTGGGTAGAGAAACAACCCCAGGGAGGCCCCACAGCAGTGAGGAGAAGGGCTGGGGCTGGATGGAGCCTCCAGGGGCATTGGGTGCCACAGGGATGGGCTGGGGGAGCCAGGGGCTGTGGAAGACATGGCAGGGCCTGTGGTGCCTGCAGACAGAGTGGGAGGAGCAGAGTCTGTTTTCTTGTTGTGGTAAATACAAAACATTAAAAAATAATACAACGACTCCTGGAACTGCCCCCAGGCAGCTCCCAGGGCGCCGGAGATTTTCAGAGCTGTGTGAGAAGCGCTGTGTGAGGGGTGCAAGGAGAGGAGCAGGAGTCTCAAACTCCTCCATGCCCCTGGAAATCTCCTGGAAGGCCCTAAGCTGAAGCCCCAGAGGGTTTGGGGGTGAGCACTGGCAGTGCTGGGGGCTGGATCACGCTGAAGCCTCTGCGTGCCGTGGCATCGGGGGGTGAGTGGGTGGAAGGGGCTCTCCATGCCCTAGTGCTGCTGCTGGGCATCAACCAGGCTCTTGTCTCATTGTCTCAGTGCCAGGGGTGCCAACCTCCCTCTGGGTGCACAGAGAAATGGGGGGGTTCACAGGGAACGCCTGATTTTTCCTTCCTTTAAAAAGCCCACCTTGGGATGGGGGTGAGGAGGAGTCCGGGGTTCTCATGCAGCAACATCCTCCTCTGCCAGCTCTGAGATCTGCCCTAAGTGATAAAAGAGCTCGTAGGAACAGACATGGAGAACATTCCCAAAGGCATGCAAATGGTCATTGTCTCTTTTTTTTTTCTTTTTTTTTTTTTGGTTTTTTTTCATCAAAAATACAAAAGCACCCACCACATCCTCCAGCTTTGGCGGCTGCGTTTCGCTCGGAGCAGAGCCGTGGTCCTGCTGCAGCTCTGCTCTCCCTCCTCCTCCTCCCTGGAACAGCTCTCAGCTCCTGATGGCAGTTTGAGCTTTGTTTTTTGTTGTTTTGTTTTGTTTTGCTTTGTTTTGTAGAGACAGAGAATTTGACGATTTAAAAACCAACAACCCCCCAAAAAATCCAGTGACTTGTGCCAGAATTCTCAGGAGGACTCCTCAGAAACGTCCCGTTCTCGCCTTGTGTTTTCCTTCCACAACCAGCTTCCTTCTGGAGACTCTCTCCTCCTCTTGCACGAATGAGGTAGTGGATTTCCCCCTTCTCCTCTCCTCTCCTCAGTGGCCTCTCCCATTGCTCCTCAGGGTGATTTTTATCCCGTCCCTGGCCCAGGCTCATTCCCAGGAGGCGGTGAATTGACGCATGCGTTCCTTCCGACGGCGCTCCAGAGCAGACTGTCTAGGGCTGCCCACCTACACTGTGACAATTTTTGTTTTGTTTTGTTGCAAGGCTGAAAGTAAAAACCCCAAAAGGAAAGTTGTCTTCCTCCTCTTCAAGGTATTTGCATGCTGAAACGTCTTCTAGGAAGCTGCAAAAGAAAAAGCGGCTTAGGGCAGCTCCCAGCAGGCAGCAGATGCTCCCCTTACTCTCCTTTTGGGTGGTTCTGAGGTCCCCGTTTGCCTGAGCTGTGCTGATTTTGGGAGATTCTCAAGATATTTTAGGATTGTATTTTTGGGCAGGTTGATTTGTGTCCTGAAACCTTTCTGTTTTTACAGCACTCCACTCTTCCAAACCCCACCACGGGCTTTGCCTTTCACCAGGGAGAGCTTGTGTGGTCACCAGGGCACTTGGGACAGCAGAGGAAGGCTTTCCATGCTGGCCATTTGGGCAAAAATCCTACTGGGCAATTTTTCCAGTAGAAATGTGTGCTCCTACTGGAAGGAGCCCATTCTCTGAGGTGTTTTTAAGGTGTTTGAGCAGCTGGTGATGGCCAAACCAAGCTGGAGTCAGCACCCTCCCACTGCACTGAGCTGGGCATGAGGGGCAGATCTATCCTATGCCCTGGAGCTTGAGCCAGGTGAGGCTCCTGCAGGAGCTGGGCTGAGGGGAGGAGAGGGAAGGGTTACCTCCGATGCTGAGTGAAATGTAGAGCACGATGATGATGGTCCCCAGCACGATGGAGACGATGCTGAGCAGCCTGGCCATGCGTCCCAGCCGCCGGGCGCCGTCCGTGTCCCCCTGCTGGCCGCTGTTCCTCGACTGGGGAGACACAAAAAGAGTCCCTTGAGAGGGGCAGCAGCTCCAGGGGTGACTCCCTGCCTGTAGAACCCCAAACTGAGCCCCATTTTCTATCCTGCTCCTTAATTGGAGATCACTTGGTTCCTAAGTAAAAAATGAGGATTCCTGGTGAGGGAGCAGCATCGCTGCTGGGGACAGGTCCTCCTGATCCTGGTCCTGCTGGAAAGGATCTCCTGGGCATCCTGCCCTTGGCTGGGGCAGCACCCAGCACTCAGCACGGGGCAGCTGTGAGAGGGTTTGTGGCGGAATTACTCACCGTGCGTCAGCATTTGCTGCCAGCCCGGCCCTGGCACCAAAAATCCTCCCTGGATTTGTGCAGCACCCTTGTGCCACCCCCAAAACCCATTGGGAAGGGGGTTTGGAGGCAGGAAAAGTGGGTGAGGGGGTTTAAGGCCTCTTGGCGACATTTTCACCTGGTTGGGAAAGCGTGGAGTGAGGGGAAAGGGAAGCAAGGTGGGATAGGAGGAGAAGGGAGCCCAGCATCCCTGATGCAGTGGAGGAGTTGGGAAAAATACCCCTAAACTTCACTGGGAGTGGGGTTTTATTGATGATTTAACTGCTTTGAAGCAGATATTCCTAATTTGGAGTTGCATTAATGTATTTAACACTTTGATATGGGTTAAAGGCTTCCCCTGGCCCATCCATCCCCAGCCAAGCTGCCTTGGAGGAGAACAGAGGGGTCTGGGGCAAACTGTGGGGCAGCAGCCCCCAAAGCCCTGTGCTGTGTGACAGCTCCTCCCTTTGGAGCATGGCTGCTAAAACTGGGGAAATTCTCAGTGTAAAAAAAACGAGTGTACTAGATAAAATGAGTTAAAGGTGGAAGTGGATTAAAGCAACTCCAGTTTCCTTTCAAAAACTGTGTATCAGAAATAGCTGTGATGGAAAGGATCCCCTGCCTCATGTTAAAAAAAAATAAATAATAAGAGCAGGGAGGTCTTGGTCAGCTCTAGCAATAATAATGAAACATCACAGAGACTCTGAACCAATAATTGATGTTATTGTCCCATTTCCCATTCACCCTGCTTTAATTCCTCTGCCTCTTGGCAGCACCAAAACATCCCAGGCTGTGCATGGGCAGCTGCTCCGTAGGAAAAGCACAGCTTTGGAGATTTCCATGTGCTCCTTCGAGTTTGTATCACCACGAAAATAACCCAGCAGAGCCCCAAACAGGGGGTGGCTGCTGCCTCTGCCCCCTGCCCACGTCCTGCCCCACTCAGGAGCCTGCCTGGGCATGGCTGTCCCCAGCAGGGACACGGGAGTGCTCAGGACCCCGCTGCTCCTGCTCTCACCAGCAGCTCTGCCAGACCCACTCTGAAAGCAAAGGGATGCAGCCAAGAGCTATTTTCATCCCAGAACAGGAGGTGACAAAATGAAGCCTCATGGGTTGGTGGTGAGAGATGGGGAGGATGCAGGAGCCTGGGGATCCACAGGATCCCTGCCCTGCTCACTGACAGCTCCAGCTCTGGGGATTTCAATTTTCAGGCTCTGGTTTTTGTAACAAATTTTGCAACAATATTTTGGCGGGGTGTGGGTTAGATTGCAGAGAAATATGCAGTTTTAGCTGTCTTCCAGGCAAAATTCAATATATTTATTTATCACTACAGCTTCTGGAAGTGTTTACTGCTCATTTATCCTCCACAGTTATGAGAAACACATCAGCATTGGCATGGGGTGTTTAGCAAGAACTTGGTACTGTACATATATTATTAATCAGAGTGGAACAGTTTGATTATAGCTCTCTAGTACCACTAATCCCCTGTTTTGCTTTCCACATAAAAACATTAACATCTTGTTTATTAATCGAGGCTCACCAAGGCAGAACATCTCCAAAAAGCTCGAGGGCTCTGGGGGAGTGAGTCACTGTGAGAGTGCCAGGGGACTCCCTGCTCCAGGAAATCTGCAGGGCCTGGGCTGTGGGTGCTGTTCTGCAGCCCCATGGGCCAGGTGAGCCTGGGTGACTCAGGGATTATTAATTTTACCTCTTTCCCACTGCTGTCTGCTCCTCTTACTGCCCAAAATGGGTTTTTCCCCTAAGTGGCCTCAGGCAATTACTTTGCTGTGCTGGTCCCAGGGATGGGGAAGACAAATCATCCCATCCTCTTCCCTGCAATCCCTCCCAGCTGATGAACTGGCTTTGGATGCTCTCTGCTGCCGTCCACCAATTACCCAGAATAAATCATTAATCCTGGACACTTGGGGTTTTTGTTGAGGGAAACATTCCAAGAGAGGCATCAGTCAACCCCAGAGTGAGGCAGATGATGGGTGAGGGCAGCCTGACTTCTCCCACATCTTCTGGCAATGACAGAATTTATTTTGGATACCAAGTGCCGTGCAGAAGTGCCCTTGATGTTACTACGTGGTGGTTCTGGATGGATTTTAAAATTTTCCTTCATTTATTTGGAGTTTTGGGCTCTGGGATGTGGCTGCTCTGCACTTTGGTGGGAAGAGGAAAGGATTCAGAGCAGGAATGCAGGGTGGGTGTGTGGTAGCCAGCCCTGCCTGCACTCCTAGGAGATGGAACATCCTTGTCCACCAGTCCCTCTCTTGGGGAGTGACCTGAACCCTCCAGAACAGCCAGATCACCACTTGGTGACAAAAACACATCCAAGAGTCCGTGGAGAAGCCTCCAGGTAATTAATTTCTATGAAATCAGTGTTAGCAGGAATGGGCTGTGGATGGCTAGAGCAGGGTTTTTTCCACCTCTGGCCATAGGCCCTGTTGGGATCTGAGAGCAGCTTTTGAAAAATGATTTATGAGACACTAAGCTCAAAAGCATTCATTTACTTTCCTCTCTGGACGCTGCTTATTACCCAGGAAGAAAAAAAAAAAAAAAGCTTTCATGTGCAAAAGCTTTGACTGAGGAAAGAAAAGCACAATTGCAGAGCCAAAGGAATGTCAGCACATTGTGGAAAGGTGCTCCTGGCTCCCCAGGCAATGGGAATCACAAAAACCTGGTTCCTGCTCAGACCTGGGCATGATCAGGCACACCTGGGCTTTGTTCTGAGAGAAAAGCTGAGCCTGGGGGGGCTCTGGGAGCTCAGTCCCTCCCTGCTGTGGGCAGGTGAAACATCAACCCCTGCCCTGGGAGCTGCTCCAGATGTTCCCTGGCTCCTCAGGGAGAGAAGGGGGATGGATGGATGGATGGATGGATGGATGGATGGATGGATGGATGGATGGATGGATGGATGGATGGCTCCTCATCCTCAGCCAGGTCCCTGGCTGCCAGGTGGGTGTGTGGAGGAGGTGATGGTGCAGGACTACAGAGAGCTGGAATCATTAATTAAAGCACAGGACAGAGAGTGCAGGGGTGGCTGTGCAGGGGCTAGAGGATGTGCACTGGCTGCTGGAGTGCTGTGGGTGCCATGAGCCTTGTCCTCAGCTGAATTCACCTTCTGCCTCCCTTCCCCAGCTCCGGCTGAGCCCTGGGCAGGGCTGCCTTGGAACAGAGGGCAGCCCAATAATCTCATTGCCTTGCTGCTCCTGCCTCCCCGGGCTGTGACAGCCACCACACCCTCTCAGCCTGGCAGGAGAACCAGCTCCTGCTCTTTTCCCACTGTTAACTCTCCTCCTGGTGTGGCCCAAGGCACATCCCCACGCCTGCAAGGGACAGCGTGAGGATCTGTTCTGCATGGAGGCCAATGTGGCTGGCAAATCCCCGTGAGAGCCCTTGTTTATTACCATGGATATGCAACACCCAGCTGCTTTCCCTCTCCTTGCAGTGCAAAGCCAGACAAGGCTGGCTGGCTTCCCTGGCTGCTGCCTAAACAGGCTGTGCCACACAACTGTACTACGCAGATGACAGCTGGCACTGGCAGGAACGATGATTCCTCCTCAAAATGGAAATTGGTCTCCCTGGAGGGCTTTTTGTGGCAAGTGCCCGTGCCTGCCTTCAAGTTGTTGGTGGTTTTTGGGGGGAAGTGCTGGCTGCGTGTGCCCCTCGGTGTATTTCTGTGTGGTGAGCAGGTAACGGAGCTGATTGTCAAAGAAAAGGTTTGCCTTTGTTGCAAATCAAAGGCATGGGAGGTGCTGGGTGTGTACAAGAGAGCAGCATCTGCTGGGGAAGGGGGTGGCTCTGCTTGTAGGGCTGTGCTGGCTGAGCCACCTGTACCCGAGATGGGTGGGAGGCCGGGCTGCCTTCATCTCCCCTGCTCGGCTCTTGGTGTATTTGCTGAGCTCCGGGGGATGCTTAATGGAGGAAAATTGCTTTTCCAGGGCGCTAAAGCAGCTGCAGGTGCAGCCTGTCCCTTTGAAGTGCCTGAGGCCAGG